GGGAGGGAGGGAGGGAGGGAGGGAGAGAGAGAGAGAGAGAGAGAGAGAGAGAGAGAGAGAGAGAGAGAGACTGGGTCTGTCTCTATAGCCCTGGCTATCCCAGAACTCTGCTCTGAGTGTTTGGCTTTCCCCCTTTCCCTTCAGAGACTGCCTCCCCCTTAAATTGCATCCCCCTTCTAGCCAATCACATTTTGGCAAGCTTGCCTTTATTTAAAAGGTTTTACTGACATATAATGCTCTTAATTCAAAATCCATCCATTTTTAAGTACATAATTCAACAAATCCTATGAGTCTGAGTGTGCACTATTATTGATACCAAGAAACTGCAGTGCCTGTGGCCACCACTGGACCATGGTCCTCTCTGACCTTAGTGTGGCCCTCTCTTGATTGCACTGGAAATATCTGTTATTACTAGAGTTTCCTTTTCTACTTCACCCCAACCTGGAGATATGGGTATAGCCATGCTGTTTCTTGTCTGGAGCTACAGGTTCCAGCAAGAATGTGACTTATCCTCCTCTCAGAGAACATGTGGGCTGGGGCTGTGACAAAGCAAAATCTGGGCTGTATCCAAGACCACCAACCATATGACTCACTCTGGAGGGTTCCAAAGAACTTTGGTGGCAGGCACTGCTGTCTCTAGGACAGGGCTATAGGACTATTACAGCCCAGCTATTCTTTCCCTGGGACTGGATGCTCAGTTGGCATCTCATTAGCTGTTAAGAGAAGGAAGCGGAATGCTGCCTAGACAATTTATGTTTTACCTAATACTGGTGCTAGGTTTCCAAACAGTACTCAGGAGAAGGGCCGCTGATATTTTTATAACTCTCAGGTTTGTTACCCAAGGCTTAGAAATTCAAAGAGAAAAAGGAAGAATACTCCACTGATTGTGTTTCACAATCATGTTACTTTAAACTTAAACTTATTTTTCAAGCCAGGTAAACCCATTTCAATGCCTTCAATCCCAGTCCTAGAAAGGCAGAGACAGGCAGAGCTCTGTGAATTCAAGGCCAGCCTGGCTTATATAGTGAGTTCTAGGCCAGTCAGAGCTACATACTAACACCCTGTCTCAAATAAGACAAACTTTCTCATTTAAGATGAGAACTATGTGTCCAACTCAGGAAGTCTTCCATAAGCCCCAGCATTTCAAAGACCATCTACTTTTGATTTGTAGCTAAAAGTACTATAGTTTATTTTGAATTTTGAGTTTATGTTTAAATCATACCCTGGTTAAAGTATTCCTGTATAGCACGAACAATGAGAACAGAAAATGTTGAATGGTTTGGTGTTTAAGTTTTGTTTTTGTTTGAGCTGGGTCTTACCATACAACCCAGGCTGGCCTAGAACTGTCTTCCTGCCTCCCTTTCCCAAGTACTGGGATTACAGGTGTGTGCCACCATGCCCAGCTTCACCGACTCTTAAATTTTGATCTTACCTGAGCAAAAAATAGAAACAGTTGCTTCTCCACATAAAGTGAGGAAGATAAATGAATACAAATGCTGTATACCTTAGGGGAAAATGAAGCATCTCACTCAATTAAAGGAGAGGCAAATATAAGAATGTCTCAAGCCTGAGACATTTTTCATACGAGAACAGCCAGACTTTACATCTAATGGGGCCTTGTGCTCCCAGTCCTGGAAAGATTATCTCCAGTCCTCCCTAAGAGCAGTGTGGTTAATCAGCAGGAAAATGTTCACCAGTCAAGGCAATAGTCACTGTTACCTACTATTTTGTCTCTGGGGTGGTTTAGAATGGTTCTCATACACTCATATGTTTGAATGCTTGGTCCTCAGTTAATGGAACGTTTGAGAAGGATTGAGTCACATGTATCACTGGGGATGGACTTTAGGTTTCAAAAGCCCATGCCAGGTCCAGTGCTTTCTCTATGCACCTGTCGTCTGTGGATCAGGACGTAAAACCCTCAGCTACTTCTCCAGCACCCTGCCTGTCTGCTTCCCACTATGATGATCCTGTGCTAACCTTCTAAAACCATAAGCAAATCCTCAGCTCAGAGTTTTCTTTTATAAGAGCTGCCTTAGATATTGTGTCTCTTTACAGAATAATTAAGACAGTCTCCTAGGAGAACACCAACTTCTTGACCCTCTTGGTTTGTGCAAACTCCCCCTATAGTCCAGGTAATATACACCTATTGTAAGTGTACAGTCAGTGAATCTTCTGAGTTTACTGAGTGCTATGCCTTCCTCCACCATTAGTACCCTACAGGTCTGCTACCTCCCACAGGTCCAAGGTGGCTCTTTCAGAGTGGGCTGCATCCACTTCCACAGAGATCGAACAAAATGAGCCAATTGTCAGAGGGTCACAGGGCTGCTCCTCTTTCATGCCCCCCTCCCGTCTGTTCTGAATGCCACCATAATGCTGGATTGTTAGGATCATTTTTCTTATCTTCCCTCTCAATAATCAAAGGCAAGGTGAGTGGGAAGCCAACATGATGGCTTTCACTTCTGATGTACAGTCTTTTTGCCACCTCAAGTTCAGCTGATAAGTTCATCCTTCAGAGCTTAATTTACCACATGACTTCCTGTAGCCACATCATGGATGCCTCGTCTGCCATTTCTGGCCTAACTTTCCTTCTGTTAAGATTTATTTCTTTAAAAAAAATTATTTCTAGTTTTTATGTGTTTATGAGTGTTTTGTTTATATGTATGCATGTACACATGTGTGCCAGATGCCACAGAGGCCAGAAAAGGGTGTCAAATGCCTTGAAGCTGGAGTTGATTGCAGGTGGCTGTTAGCCATCATGGGAGTGCTGGAAACCAAACCTGGGTCCTCTGCGAGAGCAGCAAGAGCTCTTAACTGCTGATTTATCTCTCCAGCCTCAAGTCTAACTTTCTACACAGACTATGACTGTCAGAACTTGTCCAAATGACTATTTTTAGCATCTAGTAGTTGCCACCAGGATACTGCCTTTCATGCTTCAACAAAACTCAGAGGGTTTCCACAGGGGTCGTAAAATGCCAGCTGCCTGTACTCACAGCTGTAACATCTAAGCATACTGTCCTAAACTTCAAGACCCAAGAGTCATCACCAAGTAGCCTCTAAAAATCTACCTGCTGTGTAGCTAATCAAGCTGCTCCTTCCTTGTGGCCCTCCCTTGGGACACATAGTGTCCAGTCCACCAGTCAATACAGTATGTGCTGAACAGCTCACCTGCCACTCAGGCCAGCAGCCCCAGAGAACCTGTGTGAGACACAGAGACACAGAGAGTTGTACAGGGTGTCCCTCGCAGCTGCAGGAAGGTGCTGAGCATTGAGACTGACTGCACTGCTACAAGTCTTTGGAACACTGACACACATTAGTTTAACTGATTACCTTGAACTGGCAAGGTTCAATTGTTTGTAGTGTTTGTTACTAAGATAATTAAAATTTCCAGCATTTAGGAGCAAGAACTATATTTGCTTGCAATGTGAAGGAAAGACTAATTCCCTTGCAGAGGTTCAGGAGGCAACTACAGTTATTGCCCTGCCACCATGTCCCTGGAGGCCACAGGCTTCATTCTTCAGCATAAGTAAAAGGGACAGCGACTCGGGCAGACTGAAAAGACCAGCTGATGAGCACACTTGCCTAGAGACTGTATCTTCAGCTCCATGAAGCCATGCAGCAGAAGTAAACTCACAAAGGCCACAGAGCAAGAACAGTGATGCTGGCAATTCAGACATACCAAAGGAAAGCTGTAAGACACATCCTTTAAATGGGAAGACAAAAACAACCAAAAAACAAAGCCAAATGCTGAGATTGCTATAATACATAGTAAAAAAATTAATCTTCTATTTAATTATATAAAGAAAAAAATCTATGCTAGGTTTCCTGTGCATCTCAAACTACAGAAATTATGGCCACAGTATTTGTGTCTGTTAAGATGGAAAGGCATTAGATGTGTGTATACATGCATGTATGTATGTATTTATGTTTAAATATTTATGTATGTACTATACGTGTGTGTGTGTGTGTATGTGTGTATGTATGTGTGAAAAGCCACTATATATAGGGCTGGCACTATTCACAGTTTTAGGACTCCCTAAGAGTCTTTATATGTGTCACCATGGATAAAAGAACTATAAATTAAAGATAAAATTGAGTCTTTTATTAGTACCATAACTTTTCTCAGCTAATAGGTCTTTAAATATTTCATTATTCTGTTCTTTCTTCTTCTTCTCCCAGAATTAAAACCAAATGTGTGATGTTCTTTTGTGACAGAGTCTTGCTTGGTAGCCCAAGCTGGCTTCAAATTCAGTTTTTCTGACTCTATCTCCACCTCTTGGGTGAATGATTGACATTCAATCCTCCACACCCTCAATCAACTTTTTTGTCATGCCCCCCATCTTATTAACTGTCTTTGTTGTGTTCTTGATTTTTTTTTTCAGTTACTTCACAGTCTTTCTCAACCATAAACAGATTTTTAATCTATTGGTGCAAAGCTAGTGACCCTGAGGCTAACCTGGGATACACTGAGACTATCTTAGAAAGAAGACAGGAAGGACGAGCAGATGGGAGGGAAGAAGA